AAATGCTTTAATAAAATTGGAAAGTATAAAATTAATTTGAAATATTTTAAATATTTTAATAAAATCGGAAAGTATAAAATTAATTTGAAATATGAAAGAAATGAAAGTTTAAATTTCACATATTACTTAACAATTTTACACATTAGCCAAGTTTTCAGTGGTTGAATTGTCAACGAAAGGCAAGTTTACTTGTTCCACCATGTAAAACGGATGAATTGGAAATAATGTCAAGGTTTTGCTTATATTTAATTTGTTAAAAATTTATCAAATTTTTTGATTGAAATTTAAAATTTCCATTTCCAATTTTATATTAAATAGATTAGGAATTGATTTATAATGTGTAGTAAACTTAATTGATGAAAGTTCTTTTCTCCAAAATACTGTGTAAGTGATAATTCCCAAAATATAATGCGACAAATAGTTTTTAACATTTTCATAAAATTTTCGATAGCTAAACTTTTGAATAAAAATTTAGCAAAAATTAATATTAATTAATTAAGTGATCTTAGGTTGATTTTTTTTTTGTCTGTAAATATTGATTTAATCCAATTTGATCATTCCATATTTAATTTTACATTTTAGATTTGCACCATTGCTAAATGAGGTATCAACAATGCAATTATCCAATGAACAATATCAGGCACAATTAGCGCTTATTGAACAGATCATTCAAGAGTTAAGTTTTTTTTTTTTTTGATCAGTCTATGAAATGTTTGGCAGAAATATGGATAGGAACTGGGCCTAGAAGCTTAGACCTCTTAGGCTAATATTGCCATGTCTTCTCTACGTTACCTTAATCTGGTAATGATAGCTAGTGAGTTTATCATGCAGGAAAAAATTTTTCATAATTAGCATAAATCAATGAATCATACTTATTAATGCATACAAGCATATCTTACCTAACTGTCATATTCCGTAGGAACTTTTTATAATATCAGGTAAAAAAAGACCTGATAATTAGTTAAGTTAATTAGTCAAGATTTTTTCCTTATTAATTAGCTAAGATTCTTTCTTTATTTTGAATTATTAGTTCAGAATCAAATCGATCGATAAAATGGCAAAGGTCAAAATCGTTTATTTTTTTTTTTTACTAATTTTCAATGATCATCTTTTGTATAATATGATGTTAATAAATGCTTTTTTCCCTTTTTTTTTTCAATGATTATATTTTTCATAAATTTCATGTGATAATGCGATGATATGAATAAGTTAATTAATTATAATTAATTAATTATAAAATAGAATGGAAAAGAAATGGAATGGAAAAGAAAAAAATAATCTTTTCAATTAAATTATGCAATTTTTTTCATAGGTCTATTATAATTGAATGGCCAAAGATACATTATGAAAAATGTCCTGATAATGATAATAGTTTGGTTGGTGTTGAATTAGATTTTGCCCCTTTGATACATCGTGCTCGAAATGTTGTCAAATGTCGTACATCACATCCAACGATGAGAGTACGGTATGATTTTTATGTTTTCATAATTTATTTTTATTAATATTTACTATAATTTTAACAATTTACCTCAAAATACAATATCAATTTACTCATATATCAAAATTTACCCCAATCAATATTACCTTTTACTATAATCTATCATATTAAGAATATCATGCATATCTATAAATATTACCTTTTACTATAATCTATCATATTATCATAAAAATATCAGATAAGGGTACTGTATTTATATTGCGATAATTTACATATTTCAATATTACCTTTTACTGTAATCTATCATATTAAAAATATCATACATATCTATCATAAAAATATCATGTAAGGGTACTGTATTTATATTACGATAATTTACATATTTCATTTGTTTAAATTTTTAATCATTTTTAAAAATCATACATAATTGTGAAATATTTATTCAGAGTTTGTGCAATAGCTGAGCCAAATTCGAAAAAATCCTATCTGCATGTAGTAGAAGCATTTTTTCGTGCTACATTGGTGAAATTATCAGGTGATCCAGGTGAAAGGTATCATTTTCTCCAGAATTATACTTTTCAATAATAGCACTAATTTTATTGTACTATAATAAGCATAATAAATAAGTAACTATGATAAGCATAGAATTTTGATTATAATAAACATAAAATTTTAATTATAATAAGCATAAAATTTTAATTATAATAAGTATAAAATTTTAATTATAATAAGCATAAAATTTTAATTATAATAAGTATAAAATTTTAATCATAATAAGGATAAAATATTTTAACTATATAATTATAATAATATGCATCAAATTTATAAGCATAAAATTAAGCATAAAATATAAACATAAAATTTTATAAATATAAGCATAAAATTTTATAAATTATCATAAAATAATCACTACTATAAATTAATAATTTTGATAAAATTTTTAGACAAACAGCTGGTCGATTAATTTTAACCCAACGTGAAGGTATATCAGGAACAACAAAATATCACGATCAACATGATGTTGTTGTAAATATAAATGGAAAATTGTTAATAAATCAAGCATCATCGGAATGTATTACCAATAATTTATCGATACAATATGGTGAAAATGTGAAAAGAACCGATTTTAGATATGAACACGGAACATTATGTGCAATATTTCCGGAATTGGTTTGTAGAGATGTTTGTTGTAGAAAATTTTGCAATATTTCCGGAATTGGTTTGTAGAGATGTTTGTTGTAGAAATTTTCCATCTATTTGATCAGTTTTTTTTCTTTTCATCACTAAGATTAATTCCATATTTTCCTATTTTCTCCATTTTATTTTATTTTCATTTTATTAATTTAATAAAACTTTTAATAATTATTATAATTTAAAAAATGATAAAAAGTATCGTATTTTATAGGGTGTAACATTAAATTCGATGATTGATCGACGTCAATTATCAACACGTTATGCAATTCAAGTCGATGTTGCATTAAATATTGAAAATAAATTAATCGTAAAACACGTAAGTTATACACTTCAAAATATACTTTTTGTATGTATGTAATGAAGAAAGGAAGACAAGATGGAATGATAGGTTGAGAAAAAAAAAAGAAAAAGAAAGATGAAAGGTGATAAAATTTCTAATGATCATGGAAAGATAGGTTGGAAAAAAAAAAAATGAAAGGTGACAAAATTACAAGTGGTCATGGAAGGATAGATTAGAACAAAAGTGGAAGATGACAGAATTGTGAGTGATCATGGAAAGATAGGCTGGAAAAAAAAAGGTGATGAAATTTCTAGTGATCATGGAAGGATAGGTTGAAAGATGACATAAAAGATGACAATATTTCTAGCAATGGATTAATTTATAATGGAAGTATTACAGGTTGTCCTATCACATGAATTTCTGATTGCAATAACCAATGATCAAACCGAATCATTATTAAACTTCATCTATTGGCCACGATTGTTGGATCGAGAGCAATTTGTTAGGAGATATTCAAATTTTTATTTTTTCGTTAAAAAACAATTGAAAAAAACAAATTTTTAAAATTTGAAAATTCAAAAGTAAAGAATTATTCAAATTTCAATAAACACTTGAATATGATAGTTTTTCTTTTCACTAAAAAAGATGTTAAAATTTAACAAATATTTAAATTATTTAAATTTCGAATAGCAATTGGATACATTAACTTTTTTGTTTAATTAGAAAAAAAAAATCGAAATATATTATATTGTCTTGTTTCTGTTCCATTTGTAAATTTGTTTCAAGAAAAAAGGAAAAATTCTTGAAATTTTGTTTAAAATTCTAGTAACATTGCAAATTTTAGTGCAATCAGCCAAGTGACCACGAAGATGTCACATCAAATAGTAATAAACAAAAGATGACATGGGGTATTTTGAAGAAAGCATTGAAATATTTTGTAAAAGCGCAAATGAGCTCAGCACGTGCGCTTGATATTGATGAATTATTGCATGTACAATGCATGCTATTTTATCCAAGGTATGATAAATGTCTCGTATTTATTTCAAAATTACAATTTATAAGATAAATTTTTGAATAAGAAATAAAAATTAAGTATGTTTATGTTTAGGTATTTTCAGGATCCGGAAAGCTAATGAACAGGAATGTGAACAATTAGAGAAATATTTTTTTGGCAATATCAAAAATACCAATGAAGAAAATTGTTTAATTAAGCTGAAGCATAGATTATTAACGGAAATGGTAGTTGACAGTGTATTAGTTAGTAAAAATGAATTTATGGTGGTAAGTTCTTAAATCATTTGAAAATAATGATGTCAATAATAATGATAATAATAATTAATAATAATAATAACAATAATAATAATAATAATAATAATAATAATAATAATAATAATAATAATAATAATAATAATAATAATAATAATAATAATAATAATAATAATAATAATAATAATAATAATAATAATAATAATAATAATAATAATAATAATAATAATAATAACTAATAAATAAATAATAATAATAATAATAATAATAATAATAAT